TTTGAAGTTAATTAAAATATACAGCAGCCCAGAGCGAACAATTTTCAATTACTTATACCAAGTTTTATCCGAGTATTATATTATGTTTTGTTCTGTTTTTTTTTTTTGCTGTTTAACGAACGCTTGTAAAAATGTTACGCTTAATATTGTATGTGCAAGCTGTATCAACAGGAAATGGATATATATTATTGCTTATTAAAACTCTTTCAACGGGTTTTTATTATTGGCAGTGAAAGCAGTTGCAAGAGTCGCATCGGTTGCAAGTAAATTGAATTCTCTGTTGCCTTTTCCCAACACTAAGCATTATTAAGCTTTGGTTCAAATCTTTGTACTGCTCTTCCCGCAATTGAATTGGATGCCCTTCTCTCCTTGTCACCTGCTCTGCTCGTCCTGTGTAATACTGTGCTGCAGCTTTTGATTGTGGTTTCAACAATACGTATTAGAAATCAATTCATTTTGTTGGTCATTTTGCAATTTCCGATTCCGAACGAATAACCGCTGGGCGGGCTACAAAGTAAATAATCAAACGACAAATTGCAGCCGGCGATTGATGCTTTTGACGTTGATAAATGCGAGTGGACCGAACAATGTGTGATTGGCATTTGGTAATAAATAAAAGCCTAGTAACAGAAATCATAGAATAGTAATGTTCTTTCATTTATAAACTAACTGAACATTGTTTGAAAATGCTGAAAAGTAAGACAAGCCTTAAAGTAATGTGATAGTATATTTTGTAGAGCTACTATTCATAGTAAGTTTTTATCGTAAGTGTAGCATACATTATAAATGCCAAAATATCCTGTGGCAAGTGCAGTCACTCCCTCAGAATGTGACACCAGATTGCTGCTGTCTCAACTGAAGAGCCCTTCGGCACTCAGAAGACAAATGCAGCGCCAAGCTTGTTGCAAGCTAACGGATGTGGCGCCAAGCTGCCGTTGCCGTTGCCTTTGTCGCTTTCCAGTTCCCATTACCATATCCAAAAAAAATAAATAAAAGACCAGACCGCAACAATGTTGCATAATGGCAACGTTTAGTGTGAAATTTTCAGCGGTTTTCCATGTGCCTTTGACTGCAACTCTCTGCAGCTGGCTCTTTGCTGCTACGCTTCCTTTGAAATTGCGCACATAAACTAATTTCGCATGCATGAAATGATTTTCATAGAAACTAAAAATGAGAAAATTGCAGAGTGGCCGTCAGCAGCAGCAACAACGGCAGTGGCTGCCAGTGTTGGGGAATGCATCCATTAGGGTTAAGTTGCGTCCTGCATTACCACGTTGTACGGGGGCCTGGTCCCGCTAATTGTGTCACAATGATGAGCATAATTTGCAACACACTCACACACACTTTTACAGTGTGTGTGTGTGTGTGCTACATATAATAATCTGCCGCGTACAAAAGGGCAGTCTGAAATAAAGTATACGCGACGTGTGCTCGAGTCTGTAACTCAACATTTATGCATAATGCTCGCACTAATTTTCCGTTAGTAAGTAATTGCATTTTGTTTCGCCAACGCTTTAGGCACACCTTAACCCCTACCCCCCTGCACTCCCTGCAATTCGTCTTCCGTTCGGCCCACTTACTTTCATTAGTGGCATTTCATTAAATGTAACCGGAAGCCGTACAACAGTCTCTCATTCCCTAGGCTCAGTCAACTTTTCGGCATACTCATTACTTTGTGTGGCGTCACTTGATACCCTACCCCCAACCCCAATACCCTTAACCAACACCCCCAACCGGCGCCTGTCTTCATGCATAACTGTCTCGCTTTTGCAACTGGCACCGCTTTTAATTAGCATCAATGTCGTTTGTCTGCCCTCTGATTTACGCTCCGTTTGCGTATCGTTTTGTTTTGGGCGCTCAATTTAAATGTCAGCGCAAACACACACCGACACACACGCACACACACACACACACACGCATTAGGCTATTGCATACGAGTATGTATATAAAATATGCTGTCATATGTGCGGATCATGATGAATGATGCCGCCAATTGTTTGGTTTTTGTTTTGCATTTGTTATTGTTTGTGCAGTGCAAACAGCAAATTTTTGAAAATGTGGAAAAGTGGGCAAAAAGCATAGCAACCAAACCAGCACACCCCACACCCCACACCATAACCCTGAACGCTTAGCGCTCTCAGCCGAAGCCTACCCGTTCGTCAGTAAACATTTTTCGTCTTGACAGGAGAGCATTATAAACACAGATACACACACACTCTTACACACAGACATATCTGCTGCCTGTCAGTCTCTGGCAAAAACTCTGTTTGTATACTCTGTAATCGTTAAGCGATTTCTTGTACTCCTCCCCAGCCAGGCAGTCGGCCCCTTTTTTGTTTGTCTGCTCGTACAAGAAAAGTAATTTTATGTAATTTGTTAAGTAATATCCTTCGTTGTGTTTGCCTGGATGTCTCGTCAGGATGTGGCAGTGGTATTACAGTATAACCGTATGTAAGTATGTCCGCCTTGCCTACGTGGCAGTAACTTGATGGATTTACTGCTGCTGCTATTGCCGCTGCTGCTGTGGCTACTCTGCGGCATTCTCTCGCTCTCTCTGCTCAGCAACGCCTTGTCAGTTAATTAGAAAACGAAAACATCAAAGTGCTATTGTCGAAGCTTTAAGCTGCTGGAGAGCAGCTTCATCAGCTGCCAAGCAAGTTTTACAGCACTCGGCAATCTGTGTCTTATTAATGGGATGTGAATATGTTCTGATTGCTGATGGCATCAATAAGCTCGAGCTTAGGAAATTACATTAATCCATGGAGACTAAATTTCCATCGTTATAATATCCCATAACTGACACGATTTTTAACGATTTTGCATTTCAATTTGAAAACACGATTTTTTCATTCAATTCAAAATCCCATGACGAATTCAAATTTTCCACACCATAACTTGGCAATGTGTTTACTTGATTTTAATTACAACAATTTGTTGACTCGGGCGACAGTTTGTAACAAATGCCAAAGAAAAACACGTTCAGCAGACAGTCATGATTGAATATGGTTTTCAAATTATCTCGCCTTGTCGCGTGGAACATGTGGCATGAGTAATTATGTGTTGGAGACCAATCGAATTGGTGTCAACAAACGCACAAACCCATCAGAACTCGCCCCAGACCCGTGACTCGACTGCCAGCAATTACAAATTTGCACTGAACGAAAATCCTTTTTCTTTTTGTTTTTCCTTTTTTTTGTTTTTCTTTTGGCACCCGTTGTGCACCAGTCACACAAATTGTGTGTACGTGTTTTTCTTCTTGTAAGTCGCCAAATACAGCAACAGCAACAACAATAACAACAACAAGAATAACAAACAAAATAACAAAAACAAAGCATGCCACAACAGCTCAGCCCTTTTGCTGTTTTCTAATTGGAAACGCTTTTCATTAAAGCGCAAATGAAAATCAATGTTCGACATTGCTGTCCTTTGAGTTTGAGTAATTAAACACAATCAACTGAGAAGTTTTACTTCTTTTCTCGCTCGTGTCCTTAATAAATACCGCTATAGGGCACATAATGGCCGGAAAAGAGTTCAGGGGCAATGGTAGAAGCAACAAATCCTCAGACGTTCGTCGCCTTAAACCAAATACACACACCACACACCAGACCGATGAACTCAAACACACGCACACAAATCAATTTACCCCAACCACAACGACAGCTGCCAGTGAAAATGAAGCAATAAATAAGCGGTAATTGGAAGTGATGAACGAAAGGATATGCTGCCCAGTCGAATACAAGCCACAGGCCACAAGTCCACATGCTCCTCTCTGACTAGGGACCACAAGGAAGCTAGCCTCAGAGGCAGAGGTAGAGGCGAACTAACATTGCGTCCAAATCTCTAATCAAATGTCAATTTCTTATTGAATAATATGGCAACATACGAGCCAAATTCGAACCAACCCCGCACCAAACCTACCCCAACCCCTTTTTGGAGTGTATTCGTGTGTGCGGGCGTGCGAAAAGAAAAATATAACCATGAAGTAAATCTTTTAACGACGCGCTGGCCAGGAGAAGTAACAGCAGCAACAGCAGCAGTAGCAGCATTCACATTGTCCTTGCCTTTCATGTGCACGTCCTTGACGGTGTAGTCGTAGTAGTGTAGTATAAGCCATTTAATGTGCTTTTTGGCCAATTATTACGCGCGATTTATGCTTTTATTTGTCAACAAAGTTAGCAGCCATGCCGAAAAACCAAGTATAAAGCAATGGGGGCAAAAGTTTAAGTATTGCTCGTTGGTTGGTCAACAAGCGTGAAATAGCCATCGAAGCTGACTCTGAGTGGATTATTTCCCGTTACACCAGCTATAAATCCCTTATAAATCAATGTGTGTTTGCGTGTGTGTGTGTGTGTGTGTGTGTGTTAGTTACAGGTTCACAATATTTTAATATATTTTTGTTTGATTTAGTTGCACAAATTTGCAGTAAACAACATAAATTGCACATTCAGCTCTTAAACTGCGTCGGGAACTCTGATGCAATCTTTAATGTGAAAGAATATTAATAATATGTGTGAAGAGAGTAAAAGTACTTAAAGAGAGTGAAAGAGAGAGAGAGAGAGAGAGAGAGTACAAATTAATATTTTGTATTCCTTGCATTCACTCCTCAATATATAAATAATATGATATATATGCTTTTCAATAGGAAAAGTGTTATTTAAACAGAATATTCCAATTTTACTTTGAGTGTTAAAAACGCTTTTACATCCTATATCTTATTCTAAGTGCTAAAAGTATATTTACATTAAATTAAGCCACATATCAATTAAATGCTTATATTATCATAAACGTTTTTTAAATCTTTTGCCATCATGTATTCGGCTTTGCTTTAGCTTTTGCGCATTCGCTTCCTCAAATATCTTTAATATATATCCATTTTATTATATATTTAATACCGCACCTAGTCTTAAGTTACATTTCTCTAAACGCTTAGCTTGAAATTTGCTTTTTCAAATCGAAATTATAATTTATGTTTGCCTATTTTTTCTACCTTTTATTTTTAGCACAAGAATCTGCGAAAAATGATAATAATAAACCTAAACCACAAGGTAATGCAATCCAAAAATTCCTAGCTTTATATTAGTCGTGTAAGAATTTATGCTTTGCATGCTGTTGCCGGAAATCGCTTAGACTTTTATTAGTTTCCATTTTGCTCATTTTATTTTTTTGTTTGGCTTTGACAGCAATTCCAATGATCATATTTTATGCGCAAAGCCTTTAAAATGTCATTAAAATAGATGTCATGCCTGTGTCCGTTGTTAGCTGTTGTTTTTGTTGTTGTTTGTTTGTTTGTTTGCTGTTTGTGTAGTTTGGCATCAGAAGTTGCCTTTGTCATTGTCATCACAGTCATCGTTATAGTCCTGTGGCCTTAGCTTAGCTCTTGCCCCGAGTGCAGTCGACAGCCAAAAGTAATGACAAAACGCAGCGGGTTATCATTTTCATATTGAGACATTTGCGAAGCCCGAAACGTCCTAAAGCCAGAGGCTTATGGGAGGGTAGAAAACTGGGTTCAAAATTCAAGGATGCAATATTGAGAATCCCCTTGGCATTGGCTGCACTTGTCTCTAGTCTGTAGTCTAGAGTCTAAAGACTCTAGTCTGGTGTCTGGAGTCCTTGTGTCTGGAGTCCTTGGCATCGTCGTTTGTATTGGCCTTTTTTTTGTGCTCAGAACTGAACGTTGTTGGTTATCATCTTTGTAATTGAATTCAGCAACAACACAATAAATTTTAGGCACAAAACGGGGGGCGGAGTGGGTGAGTGTAATGCTGAAAAGGGCTGCCAAAACAAACAGTGAGTGTGGAATGTGTTTTTGGCTGCAGTAAAAAGAGAAAATTTAATTTCTGGCCTGAATAATAAATCACAAACATAACAGCGAACGGTTCGAAGGAAGCCTGGGTCCACAAACAAATAAAACAGCGCAAAATGTTTCAGCTGGAGGACACTTGATGTCGCCAGAGATAAAATGCCCCACACTTGCTGGTGGCGGGGTGTGATATCCTCCGGTTTGTTGCCCAATTTGAAATGCGTTGTCGATGGCCATCGTCAACGATGCTTGCCGTCGAACGCTTTATGCTATTGCATTTATCAAAATTGTATTTCCTGCCGCTCTCTCTCCGTATGGCCAAGGAGCGCAGAGGAAGCATAAACCCCTGCCACCCCTTGGCGGGTTCCCCGTTTTGTATATGTGCACACACAAATACATATTTTATTTGTTTTGAATGGGCGGGGTGGGACTTGGGAGGCAGCAGCGGCTGTTGCTACCTCGGTTTCAGCGAGTTGCCTCAAATGTTTTGCTTTATTAAATTTTTACGCAAATGCGCGACACGCGCATATGAATAATATCAACTATACGTTAATACAGAGAGTACCCGACCGGGTAGATACCACGTAAAACACATAACAAGACATTTTATCTAAAGATGACTTGTTTCTTAAGTCGGAAAACTAAAAATATTGGCATAGTAACATATAAAACAAATAGTCAGAGTGCCGAGCTTAGCTAATCTAACATTATTGCTTCTGCAGAGTTCTCGACTCGAAATATTTTTAAAGACCTTGTTAAATAATGGACAATTCTTTGTATAGATTTTCATGCTGACTACTCTAAGTAAATTAATTATTGGATGGTCTTCTGACTCATCGGCTTATCCCAACTTATTTGCATATGCAGAACAGGGTACAAGAAAAACACAATGTTTCATAGTGCAATACAACAGGCATAAATATTCATGCATAAAGTGGGTAGCTCATTCGAGTGCCGTTTCATACTTATGCAAATGAAAAGTAAAAAATTGTTATGCCCAGCTCATTTCTTTTATAGGCGACACACTACTGTTTCGGACTGGGGAGAGGGTGCAAGGTGGCGGGAGATGGTACTGACCCACTCAGCAGTGTACAGTGATTTTTTTTTTTTGATGATATGCACTCACTCCCACCCGCATGCCATAAATAATGCCACAAAGCCAAAACCAAATACGAGTAGTAAACAGAAATTGCGAATAATATGCAATAATGCAAAAGGCCAACAGTAGTGAGATTCTGCCAACAGATGCGATGTTGCCATGGGCACTACTACACATACAACGTATGTATATGCATAAGAGAGTTGCCACCCAGTTGCTGAAGACTCTCGGGGGAAGACACACAATATGCAACAGCAGTAGCGGCTCCACACGCAACCACCTAGCCCTGCTTCCTGCGTTCCTGTTAGCATGTGTGTAGTAGGGGTATGCGTGAGTTGTTTGCCTGGGCTTAAAGTCACAGCAGGACGTGACATCCTTGCATAGCATTTGCATAACTATGACCACCAAGAGGCAGCTACATCAGCGACAGTGCTGCGCCCCTTCCCTGCCACCCACCCCTCTCCCTCTGGCACTATCCTTCACAGTCTGCTGCTCTAGCGCCCGCTATTTTTATCATTTCCGTTTTTTGTATGACACATTTTTCCATTTACTTTTTTTTCTTCATTTTCATTTCTCATTTTTTTTCTGGGATGTCGTAATGCGCTTGCATAATTTTCATTGTTTTCATTTTACACGCGAATTTTCTGCACTCGAATTTTTTTTTTTTTTCTTTATCATTTTATTTCGTTTCTTGTTTTGTGGACTGTTTCCTGTTCTGATTTCTGTTTGCATTTCAAGTTATTCGCTTGAGAGATTTTTAGTGTGTAAAGTAATAAAACTGAGGCATAAAGGCGTTAAAGGAGTTTCGAAGAAAAGGGTAGAAAGGAGTATTATGAGAGTTCAGCTGCTTATTTCAGTGTGGCCATATAACTTTATGAATGCCTTAAAAACTGAAGACCAAATATCAAAATGTTCCAAACAAAGCAAATTTACAAGAACATAACACATTGATGACAGCACGAAACATGACTATAATTTCAACATTTTGTAATCATTTGGTAGCATTTACATTACACAATGCATAGATGTTTATACCGTAATGAAAGGCATTCTACATATAGTAGTATATTCTGTACTTATTGAAAATATTCCCATCCTTACTGATAAAATTCCATTCTGTTGTTTATATGTATGTATATGAGATTTGCCAATATCATCCAAGCTAAATCGATTTTCATCGTCCTGGTTTTCTATCTAGATTATATGGATCTATGAATAGGTTCCAAACTTTCCACTAGATCCACCTCAACAAGTCCATTAATGACGATAGTCTACTATAGCCTGTTATATACTTAATGCACAACTGCAATAATTACAATAATTAATCTGCAATGCAAGAGTTAATTTGCAATCTGTACTTATGTGTGGCATTAACTCAACGCAATTCATGATGCCTTGGTTTACATACAGTTAAGTTGCACATACCATCAATATCAATACTCTTATAGCCATTTACTTATGTGCTCATTTCGCCCACAGACAGCGTTGCCAACTGTCCCATTACGGGTTGTGCTATTTGCTGGCAATTGCCATTGCCAAATGATTATCGCTGAGCTTCTGACATTCTCAAAGTCTCGAATTGCTATTGGCATTGTTGGCACTCTCAGCCAGTATTATCACATGAGTATCCGAACTTTTCGAACTTTCTAATATGCCAAATAAGTGCCTAGCCATGTAAATATTGAAGAAATGTCGTCTCTTCTCGCTTTGCATTGCTAGTCATTTTTTCCAATTTACAGCCACTTTGCCAATGCTCAGTCAATTTTTGCAAATCAAATGGTTTTCATCGGTTGCTCTTCCACTTTGTGCTGAAGCTGAAGCCAAGACGGCTGGCTGCCAGGACAACGAAGCTGACTACGCCATTCTGCTTGAAGGGCTAGCAACGAATGAGAGAAACGAAGTGGTTCACTTTCTTTTTTTTTATTATTTTATTTTTATTTCAGCTCTCTTCGCTCGTTTTGCTTTTATTTGGCTCATTTATGGCGCATATTGCGCATTTAATCGTCGTCAACATTTGCCATGTAACGGGCATTGAATATATGTGTGCTTATATGTGCCACTCCTTCCAATATATGTCAGCTTCGTGTGTGTGTGTGTGTGTGTGTGTGCCACATGCGATTCACAGGATTAGCTTTCAGTAAGCGTCCGTGCAAGCAGATAGCAGATAGCAGCCTGGTCCGACAGTGTTGTCCTGATATCCTGTAGCCCGACAAGTTTTCCCAAATTTTTTTATTATTTTTTTTTTTTGTTGGCTGACATGCTCGCGCACAATCAGCTGCTGTTGAATTTTTAATTTTTATGTTAGTAATTTCTCAACATTCTGTTTGACTGTCGGGCGCAACGTGAAAACGGCGAACTGGAAGCTGCTCCTTGCCAGCAAACATCTTGTGCGCGCATATTAAATTTTTTGTTTTATTTAGTTTTTCTTGTTATTTCTGTGTATATACCCTGTGGCCATAAAATGTGAATCGGGGGGCATAGTAAAGTTAGGCCAAAAAGTACCATAAACTTTTAATGTTCACATATTACTTCTTTCACAAGGTAGTAAACTCTAGACGGACCCCGACAGATATTATAAAACTATTGAAAAACTTAAATAAAGAAAGGAGAGCTGTGGTAAAACTATCTATAATATATATAATTCAATTAAATTAACTACGCTCTAAAAGCATACAGGGTAACTACTAGTCTAAAACTCTCAACCAGAATCAATCCGAGTGGTTTTTATTCGCATTTCAACATTTGGGGAGGCGTGAAAACCAAATGGAAACTCGGGCGGATGGAGATAGTAGCTGGCAGACATTCTTGCGATGCGAGTTTCGTAAGTGGAGTTTTTCGTTTGGTCAGGCCATTGACTGTGGCATTTATGTATGTGCATATATAAATATATTAGTAGCAGTTGTTGAGTGCGGAGTGTTGAGTGGGGTTTCACTTTGCAGTAAGCTATGCTGCTGCAAAAGTGGGTTACAAAAAACCAGACTGCTGCAATGCAATGCCAAAAGGGTTACCGTTGCCGAAAAGCTTAAGCTACAAAATTGCACAACGAGGTGAAAAAATAAATGTGGAAGGTAAACAAAATATGTGTTCAACATTATTGAAGCTTATGCATTACAAAATGCCAAACAGAATCCAACTTTCTGTGAACTCTAGCAAAATATTTGATTTAAAAAATTAAAATAATAATTTGCAGTATGGTATTTGCACAATAAATTGAGTTAAATTGCGACTGGAGTTTATCCAGCACGCGCGTGCATATTTCTAACCAGCAATGAAAATACGATATCATGCGCTGCCTCCTCCAGCAACCACACACCCCTTTCCCGCCCATCTGCTACCTGTTTAGTTTTTAAGCTGTAACAAAACCAATTTACGAGAAGTGCAACTGCAAACCGAACTGCTGCCAACTGACGCCAGCAGCTACAACTATATTGTATAAATATTTCAATGAAGCCACATATAGATACACACGTACACACACACTCACACACACACACATACCCGCAGGTGGCACATGGCGCAGCAACAGTCACGGGAGCAACTGCATCCACAGCTGCAACAGCAGCAGCAGCAGCAGCAGCGACGACGATGCCAAAAGCAAACATAATTTAAAATGTAATTAGTGCTCAAATAGAAAGCCAGACAAACAGAGCAAAGCCAACTGAAGAGCAGGGGAGTGCTGTATAAAGGGGCGTATTTGTGTGGGTGGGCATGGGCGTGGCAGTGGCAATGCAAACAAATTGCGAGAGCAATTGAAAGCCAGAGACGCGCCACGACGCTCCCAAGTCAATGGATATATATGTACATATCATCATCATCATCGTCAGGTTACTAGGTGACCCAGTGCCGCAAACGCTCTGGACACCACACAGTAAACAAGCATGCGGCCACGCCCATTATCAACGCCCACCTGCGCTTGGCAAGTCGGCATTCAATTACAACTGCTGCTAGTGCTGCGACTGCTGCAGCACCTGCAAAAAACTTTGTCCTAGACCAACTTTCAACCTGCCAACTGTTTCCAGCTTGCTGCCTGTTATTCTTTTGAAACATTTTTATTATATTTGCTTGTGTATTATTCAGTGCATCCCTTTCGTCCGCAACGGATTCGATTCCGTTACGGATTCGGACTCGGATTCGGTTTGCGGCTGCAATTCTGTGGCTGCCGCTCTGGTTCTGTGTCGTGTAAACATGGCACATTTTACAGTTTGCCCAGAGTTTGGTCGCATTCACCAGTTTCAAGGCTCATGGCTCTGCCCCCGATTGATGATGAGAATGCAGCTGATGCTGCTGATGCTGCTCTTGCTCCTCTTGCACTGCCCCCATTTTTGGTTAATGAGGAAACTTGCTAACAAGTCGTCGAGGTTGCGCTCATTATGCATTGCCAACAATCCTTTTTGCCCGCACTCCACGGGGTCCTTGAAGGTCCTTCTGCTGCTGGTGGTTTTTTTTTTCTGGTTGGCGATTTGTTGGCTTTTGTTTTGATTTGCTGCAACTAATTTAGATTTTAAGTCGTCTCTCTCAGTTGGCAACCGCTCCGGCACTTGTTCAACTCATTAAGCTGCATATTTTTTTGATACGATTCCCTTTGACTGACGGTTACCATTTTTCTGCTCTATATTTAGACTGGCGCAGCACGGACAGCACCGACCATCATGATCGCGTACAGCGACAGTTGTCGGTCTCGTCGGACAGCAAGCTGCTCGATGAGGACATCAGGGAGGAGATGAAGTACCATTCGCATGTCGTCATGCGACCCAAGAAGCCACCCAGACCCAAATCCGAGGTGTTCCTCAACAAACAGGATCCACATCCGCGACGTAAACGCTTCAGTGCATTTGGTGTAAGTACAACAATAAATTTGTATTTGCTTCTTACTCATTTCAACATAAACCCAAATAAATTTCAATATATTTTCACACTCACACATTGCCCAAAGGCAATCTTTATCGTTGTTTATTTATTTGTGTGTGTTTGCCACTATTAAACCAAATTTGTGTACGCAATTTTTGCACATTTGCGCTGCCCGCAATTCCCAAATGACTTTTTATCAATCACTTAAATTATTTTAGATATATCAAAATTAAGTTTGATTGTTTTGGGCATATTTACAATGCCCAAAGGCTTTTGAGTTAATTGCAGCAACATTTGCATCGACTTTTGATGTCGCAAATATTTGAAACAATCGCGATAATTGCCAATAGATTATAAACTATATCGCGAAAGAGCAAAACTTTAATTAAAGTAAAGCAAAATTATAAATGTAATTCTCTCTATCAAACGATTACTAATACTTTGTGTATCCATTATTATAATTGTATTGGGTTTACTTAATATGTATTCCTTGCTTTGTATTATTATTTATGAACTATTTGATTAATATACAAATTTAAAAACGAAATTAACACAAATCCTACTAAAGTACGAAAAATGAGTGTTCCTCATTGTGGCCATTGCTGCCCCGACAAGGCACATAAAGTGTTGCATAGTTATGTGCGTGTTTGTTGCACATTTGTTGTTGCATAGTTCTGTGCGTGTTTGTTGCACATTTGTGCGCCTACAATTCCCAAACGGTTTTAGCAATTTCAATATGAGTTTAGAGCTGTTGTGCAGGAGTAAATCATTGAAAATATTTTAATCTCTTTGTAATTTATCCTGGTGGGACCCTTTGCTTCGGCTTTGAGTGTTCCAAATATACAAATACATTTCATTTAAATTGTTAATTATAAAACCCAAATTCCATTTGCAATGAGTCTGCGATTCTTAAGTTTTGGCTGCCTCTTTGAAGTAGTTAACCTTTAATGCCCGCCCATAATTCATATTGATTTATGTTATGTACAGAAATTAATCTATTCCCTTGTGTTATGCCATGAATTTACGATTTGTATCTGAAAAATGTATCTATATTAATATTATAATTTATTAAGATAAAGCTTTGGCAATTCAATCTACTATAAACCACATTTAATAAGCTGTCAAGAGAGTATACTATTTTCTGTTGCATACCTTTAATGAATTTGATTTAAACACATTCAGTGCATACTTTTGGGCAACACTTTAGGAATTGCCAACACACACTTCTTCTATTCATATATAACCATTACAGTTTGTAACTCTTTGGCTAATTACGACACTTTGTCTATTTTTTTTTATTTTTCTGGATGCAGGGCGACTCACCATTTGGCAAGCAGGAAGCCTATGTCAAACTGGAACCGCTCGGTGAAGGCTCCTATGCGACAGTCTACAAAGGATTTAGCAAGTGAGTATACAAAAATATATATATATGTAGAAGGAAGTGCCCAACTGAGTGCAATAAATCAACGACGCGGCCGCATTGTGGTCCTTAAATTGGGTTGCCATGTCAGTGGGTTAAGCAAAATTATTGCTGTCGACTTACGGGCGATGCCTCCCATGAATTTTGACGAGCCCACGATGACAGATAGATAGACAGACAGACAGACGAACGGACAGACGGACAGACAGACGGACGGACGGACAAGTTAGCTGGAAAGGCTTGTCAGTTTTAGAGTTGCGTCGCCTAAATCAAATGCCCTTTTAAGCAAAATGTGTGACAATGCCGCCGCCGTTTGCCATTTTTCTCTTGATTTATTTACCAATGTTGTTCACCTCCCCCATATCCTGTTTGTTGCCTTATTTATTTTTGTATTTTTGCTGTGTGCTGTGTGCCGTCTGCATCCGTTTTGTCGCCCAGTTATTTGTAACCGGCGCTTTGCCGGCTGTGTGCTCATTTGCCATGCGTCCGTCCCATATCTTTCACTCTATGCCAACCCATATACACATACATATATTCTATTTATATGGAGCTGCTGGCAGGCTCATTACACAGACCCGAAACCCAGTTTCCATCACTTCCCAGTTGCAGACTTCAGCCTCCGTTTCAGTTTCAGTTACCATGCAAATGCGGCTATCAATCAACTGCTGGCCAAGTCGAGAAGGGAGCTAAAAGTGGCACAGCAGCAGCAGCAGCAGTGCAACAACAATGGGCAGTGAAAACACAGCAGGCAAAAAAAAAAAAGGAAAACAAAAAAAAAATGGTCTCACTGAATACTACATGCCCTTGCCTAACCGTCGTATACGAGATTTTATGTATGTGATAAATTTGAAATCAGAGAGTCAGATGCAGACATGGCCAGGTCGATTGGGCTACTGATGCTGATCAAGAATATATATACAAACATTCCTTATGGATTCACGGATATATCCTCAAATGCGTTAGGTATTTTAGCCCAAAATTATAATACCCTTTGCTAGGGTATCACAATGTCGTGCAGCCCTTTTGCCATTGTATTGTTGTTGTAGTTGTTGTTGTTGGGGGCTTCTCAATTGTTTGTTTGGCTTTTTGGATTCTTGCGCACTTTTTAAGAAGTCTGTTTTGTTGTTGAACTTACCCCTTTTCGTGTTCGGTCACTTTGACACAATTGAGTTGGCAGTCGGTCTCAACTTGGTGCTTTAACAAATGCCTCCTCATTTGCGCCTTGCCTTTGATTTGAGCCCGGCCGCCTTTCGTCTCATGATTTGACAAATGAGCTGGGCGCCAAAGCGACAAAAACAACAACAGCAACAGCAACAAGCCTCGTCACCTTTTTGACAGCCGGCTACTTATATTTACGAGGAGGGGGAAGCGGCTGGAGCAGGGGCAAGGGCAGGGGCAGCTATGTTTATGATGGATTCTTAAGGCCTGCTCCTGTCAGTTGCATCTCGCCTTCGAATCTTATTTTTGCTGCCCATTTTACACAGTGATTTATTTGACAATCATTTGCACAGCTCCCCAGACCACGCCAGCAGCTCCTCCCACTTGGAATGTTCGGCAACAATGGGCATTACGTGGCAAAAACAAGAAAAGTGGTTTTCTTTTTTTGGCCGCACAGCAGCATTTTCATTATTCGGCTTGCTCATTAGGCATGCAGAGCGCGCCACATGCGAAATGAGTTCCAATTAGCTTTGTTTATTCGGAATGCAATTAATTCGCTCCAATTTATTTAGTAAAAAGGAAAATGCGAGGTGGAAAGGAAACTAAGCAAAGTCGAAATGGAAATGGAAATGAAAATAGAAATAGAAATGGGAATGCAAATGAAAAGGCGATGCATGACAACTTTTAAGCATCGGCTTTCACTTATTGCTCCTTGCTGCTTGCTCCTTGCTCCTCCTTGTTGCTTACGCTCTGTTTGGCCTGCTGATTAGCATTTCATACGCAAATTTGGGTCAGTGCTTTGGCTCTTTGCTTTTGGCCAAGATTTATGCGCTACGCTTGTTTTGGGCCATCTTTCAAAAAGTTTTGCGTTTACTTTTGCCTTGGCTTGGCTGGGTTTCGCTTGCTCTCGTTTCGTGTCAATTGTTAAAGATTTCATGAATGATTTCACTTCTATTTGACTTTCGTTTCGTTGCTGCTTTGTCTTCTCATTGCATGTGGCCGGAGCACTTGAACTTTGCTTGATTAGCATTTAGTGGGTCAACTGTCAACTGTCAACTGTGTGTGGCGCCATCTGGCGACACAAAGTTTTGCGCTTTGACGACAAAGCTTTCGACTCGGACGCTTAACTAAATCGGTATTATTTGTGCATTAACAACACCAAGTTGGGCAAAATCTTTCGACACGCTTGTCATAAGTATGTGTTCCTATCGAATGCTTGCCACGCCCACCTCCACCCAGCACACGCCCATATACTCACTGGTGACCCAGTTCGAAATTATCAAACGCTGGCGGCACTTTGTGCAGCATCTCATACATTTTTCATGGCACCCAAAAACACATCCACATAGTGTTGGAGTCCTTGTTGTTGCTGTTGCCGTTACTGTTGCTGTTGCTGTTGTCGTTGTTGTTGTTATCGCTGTTGTTGTTGTTGCTGTTGCTGTTGCTGTTGCTGTTGTTGTTATCGTGTAATTTGCCTGAGACACTCGCCCGCAACAGCTGCTGGTTACATGAAAGTTTCGCATGTCGCATTGAAAAGGATGTTGTCGCAGGATGTGCAAAGACATAAGCTCCTTACGGAGGTTATAAAACAGAGAGAACGCGTGCTTTGCAACATTTGCCATCACATAAAAGGCTTAATTGATAACGTTGTGGCTGCCGTGCATAGAATATTGTATGTGCTTCATTTTTACAGCCAACCAAGTAGGATGTTGGAGTGTTGGAGAGAGACAAGTACCCAAAGCTCATCAATGTTTAGCTGCGCAAGATGCACAACGTTTGATGATGTTGTAAAAACCAGTCCAAAATTGTATCAGCAAAAAAAAATCAGCAGCATTAAGTATGCTTAATTTGCCATGAAAACGGTATATGTTGTAATAAAGTGGATCAAAAATTGTGGAATCATTTGTGAATAAGCAAAATAATACCTCCATACAGCTGTAAGCCTGAGAAAAATCTAAAATGTTAAAGTTAGACTCCCTTGAATACATATATATGTAATATATATTTTTAATAAACACCCAATAGCCCTTTTGGTTTCCTTCAATTCTGATTAACTCTCAAACATTTTAAGTGCATTAACCAAACTTTAATTAAGGTAATTCTTGTCTAACTTTTGACGTCATGACCTTGCCCAAATCTGAACAACAGTCAAGTAAGACTGCTCTTCAAGTTAGTTTTGATTATCTATCAGTCATTTTGATGGGTTCATCCTAAGGCCATTATCTATTACTCCTTTGCAGCTGGCTGCTCATTACGTATGTCATCATCATTAACCAACAGCGGCAACTGCTCTTAGCTGGAAACACTTACAAGCTGGCTGCCAATTAGCTGAAATCGCGACGTTTGCGTTAACTGAATTAACTCTCAGCTTCGCTTTGACACAGCTCAAGTGCTGGGCGCCGAGACATATCCATTGAGAGATTCCTCTTTCCCTGTACTTGAGTCATAAAAAAAACTTTGCTCAATTTTTGCCAGCACTTTTGGCAAACGAATACTTAAATCAACTACTTTATGGTCGAGAATTTAAGCTCACTGCAAGCAACGGCAGCGTCCAAGTCCAAATAGGAGTCTTAGTCGGAGACTTAGTCGTAGGCGAAGGCAGCTTCGTTCCAATTAGAATTTACTTGTGCGAAAAGCGTCTCATAAATTTGGGGCGTCTGTGGCGCGGTGTCAAATAATTTAACCTAATTTGACACTTCAAATGTGCGGCAAGAGAGCGGTGGCATTGAAGGAGGAGTAGCTCACTAAATTGTGTTTGTGTCTGTGTTGTGCCTGCCTGCCTGACTGCCTGGGCCTTATCCTAATTTAAGCATTTGCGGCACATTTCTGTGCGTATTTCTGTTGGCTCGTTATGTCCTGCCCAAGACTTGCCAAGGACAACATGCCTGCGGGTGCTGCCTAACTGCCTAACTGCCTAATGCCGTGTTGGTTGTTTAGTTGCAGGATATAGGGGGAGGGGTTTGTTTATCTGACTGTCTGGCGCTGACTGTCTTGGCTTGTGTATGTTTATATTTGTGTATGTATTTATTATATTAATTTCTCGCCAACAGATTAACCTACCAGCGTGTTGCACTGAAGGAGATCCGGCTGCAGGAGGAGGAGGGCGCTCCGTTTACAGCCATAAGAGAGGCGTCTCTGCTCAAAGAACTGAAACACAGCAACATTGTGACTCTGCACGACATTGTGCACACCCGCGAGACGCTGACCTTTGTCTTTGAATATGTGGTGAGTATCCAAATGGAAGAAATACAGAGAGAGAGAGAGAGATCATCTTTTATATATGTTTTTTTTTTTTGTTGTGGTTCTCGCAGAATACCGATCTATCGCAATATATGGAGAAGCATCCGGGTGGTCTGGACCATCGCAATGTGCGCCTGTTCCTTTTCCAGCTCCTGCGCGGCCTCTCCTACTGCCACAAGCGTCGTGTCCTGCATCGCGATGTGAAGCCACAGAATCTGCTAATCAGCGACTGCGGCGAACTGAAGCTTGCCGATTTCGGACTGGCCCGTGCCAAAAGTGTACCAAGCCATACGTATTCCCACGAGGTGGTCACGTTATGGTATCGTCCACCAGGTGAGTTTTCACAAAAACCTACAAATCTCTAGAATTTTTTCGAAGATGCTAACTAGTTTTCTAGATGGACAACTAAATATTATAGAAATTATAGTATTTTTGTTAACCTATTTTCAAACTCAACTTTTTGTGCACAAAATTTCAATCAGTAAACCAGGGGAATAATGAAATGCATTTATTATGATCAGATTGTTTGGAGAGCTGAAAGCTGATTAATTTTAATAGCCCGTCTTTATAGACAGTGCCCAAATGGGTAAACAATTCACTTTGCGTTTATTCATCTCTTTGTTCCCCTTTTCGTTTGCGATTCTTGCACAAAATCCCCATCAAATTGCAGAGTTTAATTGAAAAAAAAAGCAGTGAAGAGAGAACAAAGTTAATTTTTTTAATATGCAATTCCCTCGATATAAACAGTTTGTGTGAAGTCGAGCTGGCAGGTTAAGCTCCTTGCTGCTGCTTACTGGAGGTTGTGCTCCTGGTCCCTGAACTCGGACCTCAACTGGCTAGTCAAAACATGTTAAACAAATTTAATCTGCACTTCTTAGCTGACGAGCAGAACTCTGCTGACCAGCGTGACGAGAGGAGCACAACCTAAAACCGAAGCGGATGTGGTTGCTGTTGCAAGTAAGGTTGGCGTGTGGATGGGGGGGGGGATTGCTGCAACGCTTTTTGTCTGTGTGCACACACAAAAACTCTGTTAGCCGGCTGCCTACTCTAAAGGGCCAGCTGAAAAAAGCATTAAGACGGCTCCTGCATACGGCTGTCTGTCTGTCTGTCTATCTGTCAGTCTGTCAGTCAGTCAGTGTGTCATGCTGTCATTCCGTGTGGCTAGCTGGCTGGATAGCTTCCTGGCTTCCAGGCAAAACATCTCTGTTTATTTATTTAAAATTACAATTTATTTTCATAGAAAAAAGAGTGCATTTACCTAACGAAGCAACCGTCTCATTCCATTTACCATTTACCATTTACATAGATGTCCTGCTGGGCAGCACGGAGTACTCAACGTCCCTGGACATGTGGGGAGTGGGTTGTATATTTGTTGAAATGGTGACCGGTATGCCGACATTCCCGGGCATACGTGATACGTACGATCAGCTGGATAAGATATTCAAATTGCTCGGCACGCCCACCGAGGATACGTGGCCGGGCTGCACACATTTCCCTGGCTACAAACCACACAAGTTGGGTGAGTAATTTTGTCCAGTCAGCCAGCTGCATTTTGGTCTGTCTGTTTAAATTTTGTGCAACTGTGCAACTAATTTTGGCAAATACGTTTCGGGCAGGTTTTTATCGACCACGCAAACTGGGTCACAATTTTCCACGGCTGTACGACATCATCGAGGGCGAAACGATAGCGAACGCGTTCCTGCAACTAAATCCCGAGCAGCGCATCGGCGCCGATGATGCACTGCATCATGCCTACTTTGCGCAATTGCCAAAGAAACTCTACGAATTGCCAGACGGTAAGTACACACACACACACACACACAAACACACACACAACAAACACGCATATGAAAATTAAACATTTATAAACTTGGTAAATGTATGCAATGTCTGCCGCATTGTCTGTCTGGCCAACATAAAACAAAACCAATTAAATTTGCAACTATGCGAAATGTTTGTCCTTCGCTCACAAGGATATGCCTCCAATTAAAGAACAACAATTGAAACAACTCATTTAAGTTTGGCGACAAACTTGGCAACGCAGCCAGTTGCCTGTTGTCTGTTGTCTGTTTGACTAATGTTTGCATTGCCTCACCAGTTAACAGTAATTAAAGTTTTTTCCTTGCCCGGACCGGGCGAAAAAGTTTGTTGCAACAAGTCGTCGCAAGTTGCCAGGCGCAACAACTGCGCAACTAGTTCATTTCTCCCAAGCCGCACACAAAAATATAAACGAACAAATTAATGACTAAGGTGAGCAGAGAGCAGCAAATAGAATTTTAGAATTTTATTCTTTCTTTTGGTTATCAGTTAGCAAAAAGAGACAAAGATAAAAGCAATGAGAATAGTTTTTTTTAGCTCATGGCAGATACTCTGGGCAGTAAAAATAATATGACAACTTCTTAAACACAATCCACACAATTCTAGAGTCATCAACTTTCATTTATTCAGCTATAAATCTTTTTAGATAACACCAAATTCATATTTTGTAAGCATTAAAGTTAGACTCTGGCAGAGCAAGTGATAAAAGTTGAAATATATTGCTTATCTGTGTTTTATATGGTCCATTCTCCAGCTGAATATTTTTACGAGCTTATCATCAGCCATTATTTAAAGTGCGGCACTCACAAATCACCTGATTAAGTGCACAGTTCAAATCAGATTTAAGCATCTTGCTGTGCTGCATTAATTAGACTTAGGAATGTCTGCTGGCGATTTGCAATTGTAAATGGAGAGCATTTAAGCCAAAAGAAGCATTCGATGCAAAGTCGGCAAAAACTGTTGCAAAAACCGAACCGAACCGCATCGAACTTTGCAATTTGCCAAGTGCATTCATTGCATCGTTCACAAAAGGACCCCTGAGGCTGCTGCTATTGTGCAACTGGCACGTAATGAATGAAACGTAATGATTGCTGCCACCAACCCTGCCCCTAGAGCCAGCAGCAAAGCCCCCAAATGATGTCCATTTAATGGCTGGTCAGCTTAAAATGTGATTAACGGTGATTTGTATACACATCCAGTTTTGGACTATTTACAAACTTGCAAATATGCTAATTTTGGTCAAAATTGAAATTAGAGCTCACAGGTTGACTCATTAAGGGTGCAGACCCTAGGATGTGTTGCGCCTCCCTCTCTCTCTCTCTCTCTCTCTCTGTCAGCTGTTATTTGCTGCTCTTGTTTGTTCATCATTTGCGCTGCTCCCGCTCCCTATTTGTCTATATCTGTACATCTATCGCTTTTCCGCTGAACTTAAAATCAATTAAAATGCAACTAATGCGCGTCATTTATTATGGAGGGAAAAACCGCATGAAACAGCCGGAAAAGGTCAATGTACAGCCAGAGCCAGAGCCAAAAACAAAAAAAAAAACGGTGCACTTGAAGCGTGCGAGCTTTGTGGTTGAGTGGGTGAGGATGCAAGGGTGCTGGTGGTTGGAAGCCATTACAAAATATAATTTGCATTGCATTTTAATTGTCAGACTTGGCTGGTAGTAAATTAAATTATGGCTTGAACAAAAATGTTGTCATAATTTTAAGTTTTTAATTAAAATGTTAAAATGTTGCAATGTGCACTCATCGCAATAATGATAATAATAATGATAATTAAATGCTAATATACGTTTTTCAATTCACAGAAACCTCAATTTTCACGGTGGAAGGTGTGCAGCTGTATCAAGAGCCGAATCGACAGAATAAATGAAAATTAAAGCAGGTTCTCTCAGTGGATGGCGTACGTTTCTATTGTTAGACCCAAGACACCCAATCTACACAAAATCAGCCCATCCCAGCAACAATCCAGCAAACTATAACACATACCACAACATAACTCTGCAAAAGCAAAAGCAACAACCAACTAAAAGAAATTCGCAGCCATAATGAATGAGTGAAGGAAATTGAATATTCTGTAAAGAACTTAGTTCGATTTCAAATTAGGATTTTGGAAGAAGGGAGGGCAACAGGGGGAAAGTACGGCAGAAGCAGCAGCAGCAGCAGCATTTCAGTCAAACTCGTGCCTGGGCATATTAGTTAGTGATTAGTTACCTAGGCTATATATATATATATATATATATATATATATAGCTATATTCAACGTCATCGTCTTCTTTAGAGCCTTGTCATTAAGGATACTCAGTTTAGTCAAATTTCGTTCGAAACCGAAGCACAGACTTTTTCTATATACATATATATATATATATATATATTTTTAAGAAAAATACATATAAATTTAGGCTTTAAGCTAAAATCAAACAGTTTGCAATAATTTCTGAGTGTATGTGAAAAGTTTTTGTGCAAGTATTTTTTCCTTTTTCTAATTTAAGTTCTATTTTTGTGTTATTGCGTGCTGTCTGTTTGTGTATTGAAAACCAGAGTGTCCAACCAACTTTATTTTTCATCAATATGAACCAGGGATTGAACCTACTGACTAGGGAATATTATAATAATAATAAGATTCTCCAAAAGTAAACATTTAACCAAACTCAAATTGATTCTCTTTCGTATTTTCTCAAATTATAAATTGTACGCTTAAGTAGTTTGATCAATCTGCGCATAAGACAAGTTCAAAGTTCCCAGCATAAATATAGGGTATTTAAATGCTGTCTAGAAATACTTATGTAAACAATTGACGGCGGAAGCATTATCAGATCCTATTAAATATTTATGCATATGTTTATTTCTTGCTTTGAACAACTATAAATCATTTGGATATATTTGTTGAATATGTCTGCAAGGGTATTCAATCGTCGGCACGCCGACGGCTAGCTTTTGATTATTTTTTCATTTATTTACAATATTATTATTTTCAAAACTTGTTTTGAAAAAAAAAAGAAAAAGAAAAACTTTGCCGCGCTGTTTAAGTGATACATGTTTAATTATTATTAATTAAAATACAAATAATAACTGAATTTATGTATAAAGCAAACAATAAAAAGCAAATAAACTTAAATCATTTATACCATATAATTTTCATTTGTTTTTTATTTCCGTATGATTTTTATTTATTTTTTTTGCTTTTAGCTGTTTTATGATTTCAATGTTGATTTTGTCGAATCTCTCAACTATTTGAAATCGAACAAATTTCTAACAGAGTATGTAAGAATAATTTCAATCACCGAAAGCTGCTGAAGTTGTTACTCAAGAAGACAGAAAAGGAACCACCCGGGGAGGGGCGTGAGAGGTAACTCTACCCAGAGACTTAAAGAATAGTTCATACCAATACAATAACAACAATTTTTGATGCAATTTGAAACGAATAGTTAAACAATTAAATTAGAATTGAAAAGTAGTAAGAAAGTTTTAGCAACAGCAGCAAATAAATTCTAAATAAATAATAGTCAAACAACTAAAACTAAACATTAAAAATAACCTAACCAAGTATTTTACATAGAGTCGTAGTCAAATGAAATCCAATCAATCCATTTCCATGTTTTATGAAACGTTACGCAACACTAAAGATGAGAGGACACAACTCGAGAGAAGTAGGAGTTCTAGGAGAGAACAAAATGAACAAAATGTGCAAACTGAAATCAAAGACACTTCAAATGGTTTTAAAACAAAGTAAACGAATCAAAACTATATATTGGCGTCGTATGGAAGTGAAAGCAACTAAATAAACTTAGAACAAAATATGTTACAAAATTAATTACTTAAATCAATGCAAAACTTGTGCAAAAATTGAGGCAATACATCGGCCATAAACTTTTATGATGAAAACCAAAAGAAGAAAATGATATCAATGAAGAACATAAACTAATCGAGTTTAGAATAAATTTCAATGAATATATAAGACAGTGTCAAATAAATGAATATTCTAAAAAATATTTATAAAAATACACAGACTCGCTCCAAGCACTGCAGTGGCTTATCAACACTGGCAGGCAGGCGTGTGCATTAACTTTTTGCAGTCACTGTTCGATGCGTTCGACGTTTTTAAAAACGCAAGAAAAAAAAAACAACCAAAATAACAACATTATATTTTATAGTAGAAATAAAAGTGAACTTGAATATTTAAATGAAAATGAAAGCATTAAACTAAATAACAAAAAAAAAAAAAGTAAAAACAATTTAATGAGAAAACTTTTTCTGTGATTTATGAAAAAAGTATGCAAAACCTAAGGCGAGAATATGCAGTTGAAAACAATTTAAACAAACGAATATATTAAAAATACACCAAAGAAAACGCAGTAAACAATGAAGAAACAGCCACAACACGAAATTTAAGCACATTTAGAACAAACAGAGCCAAAACGAAATTGTTTAGAATTATTTGCTAGCAAAAACGGATAGAAGCCAAAATCAATAAATTGCACGCACTTAAAAAAGATATGCAAAGAAATTGCAAACAAAAATTCTCAGCACTTGCTCGTATAAACATTTCGTATTGTTTGTACTTTGTTTTGATTTATACGAGAGCTCACACTGAGTAAAAACTTAGTAACATTTTCAAGTAAACACGAACAGGAAACACACAGAACAAGAACAAGAAGAAGCAGAAGCAGAAGCAGAACATGCTGATGATGATGATGATGTTGATGATGATGAAGTTGAAACTGTAACGAGCAAAATTGCAATTCACTTTTCGCACTTTTCCCATCCCAAGGTTACGTCCATAGTTTATAAGCCAATGAGCCAATGAACAAATCGAACGAATCGAAAGAAAAACAAAAGAATGATGCGAGCTACTTTCGTTTAGCAACTAATTTGATCTTGATTGATCAATCGAGCAATGATCAATCAGCATATGATGATTTTTGTGTTGAGTATTGAGTTCTGGAAGAGCATCAGTTATATGTATATGTATGTGTTTACGTCTGTATGAATGTATTTACTGCTACCTTAATGTATGTAAAACTTGTTTTCATTGCACCACACAAATTCGAACGAAGAATAACTTTAAAAGCATTAAGCTAAACTATATTAAACTAAAGTAATCCCAAAAATGGTAATACTCTAAGAATGTTTTTAGCTGAACGTGTCTCTAGTTGTATTCAATAGTAGCTAAGCGGTCAGGGTTCCCGCTGTGAACCCGCAGGAACGAAAGGTAAAAAGAAAACCAAAAAAAAAAAAAAAAAAGAATCTCGAAACTCCAAACTCGAAACTCGAAACAAGTGGAAAGAGCAAGAAGAATAACTAAATTATTTTTAATGCATTGAATTTGTCGTAAATATTTAACGTACCTTTGTTAAAAACAAAACAAAAAAATTACAAATATATAAATATAAATCTATTAACACACAAGACGTAAGCAAAAAGTCGATAGAAATTATAAATACAAATATATATTTAAATTCTCTCGGCAGAATGTTGTAGAAGCGTGTAGTTTTTATGTTAACACTGTAAGCATTTTTGTATAGTTCAAAAGGCAAACGGGTTAAACTCACCTCGCACTGCCCCCTGCCACGCCTATGCAAAAGGGAGTGGGGGATTGGCGATATAATGAGATTATCTTAAGCCGAAATTTTTTGTAAATATCTGTAGTTGATTTCTAAGTAGCGAAAAAGCGGAAAAGAAAAGATGAGTAAAAGAACCCAAAAACTGAATGTTTATGATTTAATAACAATTGAATAATGAATGGCAACTAAATACAATTTGAATAAGTTCAACATGTACAATAATTTAATATTAAATAAAATGCAAGAAAACCAAACAAAATCCAAATAGAAAATGCACGTTTCATTCGTATATCCACTGAGCAGCTGTGCCATTGGACTACTTTATTCTTTAATTTTAATAGATATATACGGATTATATATATATACAGCTGCTGTCCGTTGGCACAGTTTGGAATTCAAGGCTGCCAGCCGCAGACAAATTGATGAATTTTTCATAAAAACACATAAATAACAATAAAAACAAATAATTGTTGATATCAAGAAATAAAATAGTTGTCATACTTTATAATTAACCCATCAGATTTGGCCTGGCAATTGAAGTGCTTCTTTCACTGAAGTGCTTCTTTGACTGAGTATAAAATATCTTTCATAAAATATCTTTCATAAAATATCTTACATATATATTCTTCTCTTTATTTACTGCACATGGCGGTACTTATGCAAATGACATAATTATTTTTGTTGTTAGTCTAATAGCCCCGAGACATGACAGTCTCAAAGTTATTTTTATGTATTTTTTGCTTCTTTTGGGTTTACGTCATCGATTTGCCATTCATTCAACTGCATGTTGAAGCGGGAAAAGAGGGAGAAAGCGAGAGAGAGAGGGGAGATATGACAATCTGCAGTCAAAGCCTGAGATTCCTCGGCTTTATACTAAAGTGCCTATCTGAAGTGCTGCATCTCCGCACGACTCCGCACAGCTGGCAGAGCTCAAAAGATGCAAAAGGTTTCCACAGCACGATGACCGACGAAAACCTTCAGAAACCCGTAACAGACAGCAACAATTTGTGTGGGTAATTTGTAACTACAACTAAAAATGGTTTGAGCCAAGGCAGTATCATCCAAAAGGTAACCCACATTCAGCACAAACTAAATATCAATATGGTAATATTAATTATATATAATCAAAGCGAAGAGAGAACACTTGTATTTGAAGAGCCGCAGATTAAATACACTTACAAAATACGTTGATCATTGATCTTGCCGGATATATGGAACAACAACAATTCGGAAATATATTTAGAAATATGTAAGCGTAACTGAGCAATATTTCTAGTGTGTCATATATCTCTCTTAAGTGAATTATAATTCAAGACACACAATTGAGCTGCACAAGAGAGTAGTCAGAAATGAAGTCGTTTCAAACACGAGTAAGTTATGGCCCAAGGGAAAGACAACCAGGTAGTAGTCCGTAGTTGTACGTAGATGTATGTAGATCAGTAGTATGTGACGCAACTGTTGAGGCAGGTTTCGAGTAAGCAAGTGAATAATTTACATCGTTGTCATGCAGTGTGAACTGCTGTGGAATGGCAATAAAAAACTTGTAGGTACTTGAATAGACAAACATTTATGGCAAGCTGATTGTCATTCTGAATAAGTCACAACAGCTGAGTAATCAGGTTCCTTATAAAATTGTGGCTTTGAATAAAAATAATAATATATATATAATATATATATTAGTATATATATAATAGTGAGTAATAAGATTTCCACTTATAGAGATATTTGCTTATCACTTTTGGCTCTGGGTTATTGACAACATCGAACCACTGAAAGCCGGGGAATTTTTTACGAGACGAGACATAGTATCAATCAAAAAAGAGAAGACTGAACTTATAACCTTAAGACAGAGAGAGAGAGAGAGAGAGAGAGAGAGAGAGAGCGAGTGAGAGAAATATAAATTGTATATGTAAGATTGACAGCGTCACTCTTCCTCTCTCTCTCTCGTTGTTTATATCTCGCAAAGCTCGCTCGTCAAGTGTCTTCCACGCAGCGTTGCTTCGTATTTGCTCAGTCTCTTTCTGAATCTCGCGTTGAACGGTCGCATCTTTCGGAAAGTGTTGAAGAACTCGGTCTCTGTTGACGTGTGATCTTCGAGAGTCGAGTGTGTTTCGTATTTGTTTTTGAAGCGGTAGTTGTGTTTGCACAATGGGCACACCTTCATTGCGCCTGTTCTTGGCGCTCACCTGTGTGATTCACATGGCCACAGCTCTGCAAGAGACCCCCACAAGAGACATCTCCCTCTCTCCCAACCGAACCCAGCAGCCATCCCGCTGGCGAGCACATACGCGCAGCAACTTCCGAGTGCGTTAAGTATACGGATGAGTTATTCGAGTACCTTGCGAGTTAATATGTTAATTATAATGGCACGAGCGAACACTTATTTTTTCTGTTTGAACTGCCGCTGGTCAAATTCAATCAAGTTCAATGCTTTCATTAGTAATACTTCTCAATTTTGCAGCATACAAATGGTGTTAGCGCCACGCCAAGCTTAGCGGCCACACAGCACTCGGAGGTGAAAGAATTGATCAACAATTTACACGATCGCGTCGGCATCTTGGCGACCTTGGATGAGGACCAGCGTCATCGTCTGGAAGTCATCGATAAGAAGTGAGTGGAAAGACCTTAAAAATCGAAATTGAAAAGTCGACAATGAAACTTTTGGCATTTTTGGGACTCTTATACATATGTACAATATTGCCGAACAGGTTTTGCACGCATCGCAAAGTACTATGGAAAAACCGGTAAAATATGTTGAAAAAAACAACGTTTCTGGTTGGTTTTATCATTATGCTTACCTGAAGATGAGCAACAGACAAGAAAATTCGTAATTAGCTGCCAAGTAACGCCCAATAATTTTTTAGTACCTCAAACATACACAACAGGCAATTTATGTTCAGTCTGTTTCTGTCTCATTTATATACTTCTGTCTATTGGCAAACATTTCGCACATTTTTTGTGTTTGTTTATGAATTTGGCTGCTATTTTTTTATTTTTGGCTGCTGTCGTTTCCGAATAAATTATTGCTTTTGTTTATTAAACAGCAAATGGTATAGGGTATATGGAAACGGGTTCAAAAAACAATGCGAATTCAAATTTAACGCATACTTAATTATAATCGCATTCAAGTAAATAAAAATATAATTACGTTGCTGGAACATATAGTTGAATGAGTAGAAGACATTTGGACTTGGGGCGGTTTTGAATATTTTTCAAAATAATAACTTATATTTGAATTCATATCTTGACTGAAAAGTTCACGTAATATTGAGTTAATAATCCGATAAACAACGATGATATCATGCTAAAAGTTCTTCAAATAGATTTTCCTCTCTTTGTTAGATTGATTGTCATTATTTATGTTCTGTCAAATTAAATTCAACCTTTTGCAGAATTGATCAGCTGCTGGATAGTATAACGGGTCGAATGGAATCTCTGAGGGCGCAACAGCTGAATTTCCAGCATCGCTTGGACAGCTTCGAGCACATCCAGCGACTGTCTCGAAACACTTTGGATGAACTGAAAGGTGAAACAGACAAACATTTGGGATCACGTTGGGCCCGACAGATGAAAACCAAGCAAAAGAACCGCGATAAATTGTTGGGTACTTAATTTCAGTAATTGAAGTCGTTTGTCGTTTGATTGTTGTGGATCTTGCTTGTTGATTTTGTTTCCGCTAAATGATAAGATGAAACCGCCAATTAATTGTTTGTTCTAATCCATAGATTTGTCACGGCGGGAGCGTGCGGCGGAGCCACAGGATGTGGTGGCCCAGAATACGGCCGCACTTTTCAATGTTCAGTCCGATCAATCCAATCTAAGCACAACCTCCAATGGCAGTCAAACTGATGTCTCCAGTCGACTGGAATCCTTAGCCACCTTCTTGTACTCTCTCGCCCACAATGTGCGCGAAACACAAGGGAGTGTGGGCAGACTGGTGCAGAATACCGAGTGAGTGAAGAAGGAAGTCGTTTAACTAGTGAGAGTTGAGTGACTTAAGAGGACATGAGAAACTTGCATTCCATGGTAGACATTTTAGTTTCCAAGGGTTAATATGAAAAGTTTAAATTTATAGTATTCATATACTTTATATTATCAGAGATCTAACTTTGTGGGCTCAGAGATGATTTTTTTTTTTCTTTCTCTGCAAGTTTTTTGAAAATGTTACTCAATTCTTTCTAACAGCAACATCAGACGTCGCCTCGCCAGTCTCAGTAGTAGGCCCCTGCCGCAGCAAGGGGGTCCTGGTTCCTCATCCGCTTTCCAGGAGCGTGCAACTAGCTGCCAGCAATCCTATTTGGCAGTCAAGGGCATTCTGAAGCTGCAGCTGACAGAGGAGAGCGAGCCCTTCTATGTGCCCTGCGAGGATGATGGCTGGACGGTGATCATGAATCGCTCCGCGGATGACATCAGCTTCGAGCGCAGCTGGCTGGAGTACAAGGAGGGCTTCGGCAATCTGGCCGGGGACTTCTTTATTGGGCTGGACAAGTTGCATGCGTTGACAACATCCTCGTTGCACGAACTGCGCATTTGGCTGCAGGACTTCGACGGTAACGTGGCCATCGCTGGATACGACTCGTTTCTTATAAGCGGGGAGAAGGAACTGTACGCGCTTAGCTTGCTGGGCAACTTCCAGTCAGATTTGGAGCACTCGGCTGGTGATTCTCTCTCGTATCACGCTGGCTCAAAGTTCAGCACGTTCGATAACGATAACGATGGCTGCGTGGAGTGCAACTGTGCGCAGCGGCACAAGGGCGGCGGCTGGTTCAACTCGTGCGGCACTAGCAACCTGATGGGCGCCTATCACAAGAACAGTCCCGAGACAGCCGGTGAGACGGGCATCTATTGGGACACGTTCCAGGGCAAGGATTACTCGTTACGTGCTGTCAAAATGCTCATACGTCCATTGGCGCAGGACGAGGCCAAACGCTAAGCGCGAACTTACCTCGCCTTGTCCACCAACTGCCATAAGTCAGGGAAGCAACTATAATGCGCTCAAAAATTAACCATATTCACATACATACGTATATGTATATAAATATTGCCTACAAATATATGTGTGCTTGTGTAAGCCTCTTCGATGTGAGCTCGCTTTGCAGTTTAACTCTAGCTTTTAATATCTCCTTCCGAATCGTATTGCATGTACGCGTACTTCTGCTCAGCACTGTGTATTTATGGAAAATTATCTAATACCTTAGTTAATAAAGATGCTCTTTGCGCTACACTCAGAAAAAACTTTGAAATTAATCACTTTACATTTGAAAAAGATATGAGTGTCTTTTTTCCCACTGCAGTTTAAAATCTGCAGATTAAAAATCTATTAATAAATCCGGTCTGTAAGGGCAATGATTTTTATGCTTTTCAAATTCTGTTTAATGACTCGACAGTATTTGATTTACACGGATCAAGAGTGTTATACTTGAAATCTTGAACAAATCGTTCTCTTGACTTTGAATGTTAAAAGTTTTCCTGTGCATTGATATTCGTGCCCGCTTTCCAGTTGTGCGTCAGTTGAGACGATCTAAACGACTAATCGACTAATCGATCGATTATCAAAACGCACTTGTCGCAGCATGCAACATGCAATATGCAAAATGCAATCGTTGCACTATTTAGGCCGAGTCTCAGTCGCAGTTTGGCTCAATCGCCTCTCGCAAAATGGCCAAAATGGTGCTCTACTGCTGGCTGCCCATCCTCTTCTGCCAAATTTGGGAACTGCACGCACTCAGTCTGACTGCACTCAGCAAACAGAGCAGTATCTTTTATCAGGGCATGCAAGAGGACATGGTCCTGGAGCAAGTGGATCAGTTGACAAGTGTGGACTCCGTCAAACTAATTGTGCACGGATTTCTCGGCTCTCGCAGTCACAACTCCATAATGCCGCTACGAAATGGTAAGGCAGTTCACTTCCAGTTGTTTTTCTGTGTAATCTCCAATCCCATTTGATTTATATCTAGCTTACATGGCGCAGGGCTTTGAGAATATTATGATTGCTGACTGGTCGCCAGCTGCCAATTTGGATTATGCTAGTTCTCGTCGTGCTGTGGCCACGGTCGCTATGGTGCTTGCCAAGGAGCTCGAGCAGTTTCTCTCCCGGCACAACGTCTCACACGAGGCGGTCCATATCATTGGCCATAGTCTTGGCGCGCACATCGCTGGTCGCATTGGAAACTACTTTAATGGGAGTTTGGGTCGGGTGACGGGTTTGGATCCAGCGTTGCCTCTCTTTACGCCCCGCTCCGGGGATGGATTGCTGCCGAATGCTGCTCGCTTTGTGGATGTCATCCACACGGATTATCCGCTCTTTGGCGATCTAACACCTCGTGGAACTGTCGATTTCTATGCCAACTTTGGCCACGCACCGCAGCCGGGCTGTGAGGAGGTGGATCTGCTGGTGGCCAGTAAGCTCATTCTCGAGGCTTGTAAGTGCTGCAGCTAAGCTCAGTCGTAACTGATCTCAATCTCATCTCGATCTTGTAGATAGTTGCAGTCACAATCGCGCTGTGCTCTTCTATGCGGAGTCCATTGGAATGCCAAAGAATTTTCCGGCTATTGGCTGCGGTTGGAGGGCGATCAAAAGCAAAAGCAGCTGCTCGAAGGGAATGTCCGTGTCCGTTGCCAATATGAATGATGACCATGTAGTTTATATGGGCGAGCAGGTGACGCACAGGTATGCTAAATATGTTAGAGCTAAAATTCAAATTGTAATCAAATATTTTTGCTAGCGCCACCTCGTTTTACTATTTGGAAACGAATGCAGAGCCACCTTTTGGCCAAGGCATAACCGCCAAGTTTGTCTAAACGCCATACAAATGAGACCTAGGGAGTAGTTTACAAAAAATTTAGCAATAGGTGGCGCACAAATATTATATATCAAACAGCTTTTGGTTCACAGCAAAACCCAACAAATGCTGGCTGGCAAAAGTCTAATGTGTTGAAGTAAGAAATTTGGAGATGTAGAAAGCTTAGCTTAGACTAATTTGACTTAAGGCATATGGAGCGTACAAATATAAAAATATTCAAAAAATATGTGAAATTAATCAAAACGATGATAAAACAATAAATAATACAATTTAAAACATTAAACGAAGTGTTTTTCTCATTTGTTGAATGGTTCTTAGATGCCCCCATTAAAAAGGAAAAGAAAAGGAAATGCCGTTCGATAGAGTCCCTATAAGTATGCTGTATTTTTTCGTGAGGGTAATTTAGCCTGTGCATAAACCTAATTTGTCCCATAGGTGCGTGCACATGCTATTCTAGACAGCAGCCTGAAATAGGAAAAAACACCGTTATTGGTAAAGTGCTTAAGTATTTGTAACTGGATTTGTGGTCCAATCGTGTGCTATATGCTTTATGCTATAAATAAAGAAGAGTGTTTTATTTATCATTAGTTAATAAGTGAGACAGATGAAATTCGATTGGGTGATTTTCTTACAAATTTAGATGTGAGCAGTCGACCTCCGTTATGCAAGGGTATGTTTTCTTCGGCAAAGAAAGCCATTCGTTATTGTTTAATGTTGAACACGTTTTGTACATTAAAAGTTTTAATGAAAAGTTTCATTAGGCTTTTGGAAAGCTCATCTGAAATTAAGTCTTAGATATATTTCCGATTTTCTATCGGCGACCGTATGCTTCTCAGTAAAGTTACGATATAGGCCTTTGGTTGCAGAGGTGTCTGGTCCTAGACCTCTGAATGAGCGCACAATCGAGCAACCTGCAAGTTATTTATGGGCCAATAACTTAAGAACAAAACGCTCATCTACATTTAATGGCGATAATTTTTGACGCAATTTGAGAAACACACGCAGCGGCAGCCGCTGCGGTCCACAGACCTCCGTCTTAGTCTAAAAGAGAAACCAAGAAGCTAACCGCAGAGCAGATAACACAAAACACTTGACACCTTGGCGAGCCTTCAGGCAACTCCAGCGATTCCAGAATGCGTGAGGTAAGGAGAGCCGGCACCTGGGGCAAACTCAGGGGCACCTTAGTGCTCAGACCAGAGCGGAGCACAATGAAAATGGGGAAAGAAACAAATAAACGCAGCGATCGTAAATTTACAATAAAAAGATGCGAGCCAAGCTGGTTCTGCGCTTGGGAGCAGGTCGGGGAAGAACGGGGCATTGGGAAGAGGGTAGCATGTTGTAAATTTGAGGATTTCGAGATGGCAACAGCTGGCGGCTTCTACGGCATTCCACTGCTTTGCTCAGCTCTGCTCAGCTCTGCTCTCTGCGAGTGTGGGTGGCAGATAACTTTCACGACTTCACTCTAGACTCCATGCGTTCTAATTCATTGCCTAACCGGACAGTTGGCAAGCGAGAGCTTGGACTCAATTGTAAGGTAGTGTAATTTAAACTGATTCCATAAGCACAACACAACACAAATCGATTTCAGGCTTCATTAGAGCCACATACATAGCGCACAGGAAACTCCCGCACTTTGCTCTACGCTTTTCTTTTGTTTTCCCTGCCCGCCCACTCTCATTCTATCATTCGCTGGCATGGCAAACACAAATGCGTAAAACTACCGCTTACCTCCCCTGCTGTTTCTCTGCCCCCCTCCCCCTCCACCTCCCATCCCTTGATTAAGTAAACTGATGCGCTATGCTCGGTCAAGCAGCGAGTTGTTGTTGCTTTTGCTCTGAGCATATCGCATACGTTCTCATTTTCCCCATTTCCCTTCATTCGATTTCATTTCCATGTACAATTTTTGTCGTTCTACGTTTTTTTGTTGTTGTTATTGTCTTTGTTTTTCCACCTTTTGTGAATTTGTGTCATGCGTCGGTTTTTCCTGCTCGTTGGCTCTTCTGTTTGCTGTTGGTTTTGCTTTTTGTTTTAGTTTCTGTCGCTGCTTGGCTTTAATTTCTGTTTGCTGAGAAAGAAAAACACATACAGACAGATAAAAAAAGAGTTGTTGACTTTCTAGCATCAATTGGGCTCACAGCGGGGCCTTCAAATTGTTCCGCTCCAATTCGAATAGCAAAAGGGCAAAATAATGCCAAGGAACAGCGATCAATATTGAAATTTAAATAGAGGTAACAATTAAATTTCAATTTCTATATTATTGTCGCCAATCTTGCTTGTTAACTGTTAACTTTTTCATTCTTAAAAACTCACACATTTCTCTACCTGCAGTCGTGAATTCCTTTCTCACTGCTTCCTGCCTTTAAATTATATAATTCCTCAACTGTTTTGACACATTTCTTAATGGCACTTCACACACGCACACACACACACACACTCAGATAGATATATGGCAGGAGCGTACAAAACGAACAAATGCAAAGGCAAAGTGAAGCAGACAAGAAGAGAAATGATATTGTAATTGGCAATCGCTGTCGTGCATAAATCACATGCATAAATTCAACCTACGGACATTTTGAAGCGACACCAACGCGTTCCTCAAACACCCTTCCCCCCTTCGTCCCTGCCCCCAAGCCCTCCATAAACACAAAGCACAGTCCGTGCTCGTCCTCGTTGCGGTCGTTAGTTGAAGTCAATGTTGATATCCAATTGGAAAATTTTTCATTAACTAATTGAACATTTTATGGCAGCTCGGGTCGCACAGCAACTTATATAGTTGGCACTAAGACAGAGCCAATATTGATGACAAACATAGACAGGGTAGCGGGCGGGGGAGTTTCTCCTTCCCCATGCTGCAGTCAGCCTAATCTGCAGGCAGGCTACATACATACAACAAAAAAAAAATGAAAAGAGGCCATGGCGAAAAGCAGACGTGGCCAGAACATGAAAGGACATTGGCCCAAATGGACAAACAATGAGATGTGTGTGCCTGTGTGTGTGCGTGTCTTCCAATAATTTACGAGGACACGCTTTGCTCGAACTGCCCTCGCAGCCCAGGACTTGTCGTGGATAAACACACACACAAATAGAATACACTGTAAATTTGCATAACTGTCTGCGTTGGTGGACTGGCGTCGTTTTGTCCTGGCGGATATTAAACATTAGCGCGTGCTGGATAGCACGTCAGGACCGCTTCCCCCTTTGCCCTTCCTCGCCGCAAGAAACCCCAAATATAATTAAGGTGAAAATTGCTGTCGACACGCAAACTGCAAAGCCAAGCAGGCAATAAGCCACACAGCACAGCCAACAACTCGGAATTTTTATTTTGGTTTTGAGAAATGACCAAAAAAAGAGCAGCTGATAAAAAGCGAAGAGCAGTCGACAAAAAAAAAATTAAAATAAACTCACACAGACTGACCGATTGCCGACAAATGACTAATGAAACCTATTAGCCCTGTGACAGATGAGAGACTGCGTCAGCGTCGGAGCTCACCTCTGAATCTGAGTCTGAATCGTAGTCGGAGTCTGTTGCCTCCATCGGCTTCCGATGATGGATAAGCTCATTAAACTGAGCCGCAGCCTGAGCTGCAGGCGACAAGATTGGCTGACTGCATTTGGAATTTGTTTTGGTAGCTCTTGTTTGGATCAACCGGTAGCCGGGTTGACGAGTTCGTTGGCGGCATTATCTATGCGGTTTCCACATATCTTTTTGACCCATTGTCTGTCACTTAATTGAAGCTGGCTGGTGGCCCAGCCATATGTGCCATGTATGCTCCTCTGACATTTTCTTATCGCCAACACAATTCGTCAACTATTTTTGGGCCATGCATTTGTTTTGGCCAGAAAAGCAATTTGACTTGCCGTGATTGAGGCACCCTCAATGCTGTCCGGGCTCTTGATTGCCTTTAAATTCCACTCGATCAATTCTCTTAATGCCCAAATTTCGAACATTTCCTTCAGGCTTAGAATCTAACTTCAAATTATAAATATCATTTGTAAAAGAATTTGGCATTTAAATTTGCAAACCAACTTTTGCTTAAGGAGAGAAATCTTTATTATGGATATAAACATATCTCTTTTAAATGGATACGGATATGAAATACTTCTACTGAAAATCTTTTTCGTATATAATACCATCTAGATCTCCATGAAGCTTACTGATTTCCAGATAAGATCAAGCAATTATAAATTACTTTTTAGCCTTATAAGGTAATTCATTTCATCATATCATACTCAAGTACACCCTCCCTTCTTTGCATTGGTTTTTTTTACCTACGAAAATCTAATCAGAATTTAAATTTCAATCGAATCGAAAATTTCACAAGCGTTTCGCTCGCATTTCTTTATCATAGGTAATGTTTTCCAAGCAGCCATAAAATCGATATACAATTTTATGGAAATTTTGCTATTTGTCTTTGCTGTTATTTATTTGTTTAGTTATTGCTGCTTTTGTTGCTGTAGTTGTTTTCCTCTTTTGATGTCAGTGTCAATTGTTGCGTTGTTGTCTGCGTCAGTTTGTGTTGATTTTTTGGGGTTTGGCAAACGATTTCATTATACTTATTATTTTTGTGTCTATTTTTATGATTTAATTACACGAAAATTTATTATATTATTATGAATACATATGTATCTGTATGTATTTTGTAGTGCAATTATTTTGTGCGTCGTCGCATTTATGATTTCTCAGTTTTATTAGCAGATTCAAGGCAACATATTGTAGGAGCTCAGATTTCATAACTGCAAACGGAGACGCTGTTAAAGCCTTATGGGGGGTTGTTAGTCTAATTAATAATACGAGTGCGCTTTGATTGCCATGGGTGTTACTCCAATTTGGATGTGCTGTAGGTGCTGGAAGTGGAGGAGAGGAGAGGAGAAGCAGTTGTAAGTTGGAGGTGTTGTTGTAGGTGGCATGTTGGCTTTCTCCATGAAACTGCTGCCCACACTGGCTGACTGGGGTTGGCTTTAATTAATTATGTAGAAAAATTAATTTCATTTCAATTGTGCGTCTTCTTGCAGGCGCATCATTAGCAGCTGCTCGCTGCCCGAAACTCAAGACAATAAAATGTATAAAAAAAACCCGCTGAGTAAGCAATGATCGAGCTTGCCCCGCATCCTCGAGCGCGAGCTCCAGCCACGTCCACTCGAGTGTCATATTTGAGTGGGCTTGAAGGTGATTAACGCGATCATAGAAATGATGTTTTCAAAAAATATACCAAAAACGCGCGTAAGTGTGTCGGATC